AGAGAAAGAATTGCCCTCGTTTTTCATTTTCTCATTTCTAATTGATTAAACCTAAAGGTTTAAAAACATAACTTTTCCAGGGTAGTATACATTACTATTTTTAAGCTTGAGATGTGTGTGCTATGGACACGAGGTTTACTGATCTAAACAGAAATCAAAGTCGGATATTTTTTTTTAGAATATTTTTAAACGAATTTTGAAATGTTCTCTTGGTTTCGTTTTGCCATTGTTTTTTATGTGATCTACTTCTTACAAGCTATTGGACATTGTAACTGTGTATAAGATCAATGGTCTTACAAGCTATTGGACATTGTAACTGTGTATAAGATCAATGGTCTTACAAGCTATTGGACATTGTAACTGTGTATAAGATCAATGGTCTTACAAGCTATTGGACATTGTAACTGTGTATAAGATCAATGGTCTTACAAGCTATTGGACATTGTAACTGAGTATAAGATCAATGGTCTTACAAGCTATTGGACATTGTAACTGAGTATAAGATCAATGGTCTTACAAGCTATTGGACATTGTAACTGAGTATAAGATCAATGGTCTTACAAGCTATTGGACATTGTAACTGTGTATAAGATCAATGGTCTTACAAGCTATTGGACATTGTAACTGTGTATAAGATCAATGGTCTTACAAGCTATTGGACATTGTAACTGTGTATAAGATCAATGGTCTTACAAGCTATTGGCCATTGTAACTGTGTATAAGATCAATGGTCTTACAAGCTATTGGACATTGTAACTGTGTATAAGATCAATGGTCTTACAAGCTATTGGACATTGTAACTGTGTATAAGATCAATGGTCTTACAAGCTATTGGCCATTGTAACTGTGTATAAGATCAATGGTCTTACAAGCTATTGGACATTGTAACTATGTATAAGATCAATGGTCTTACAAGCTATTGGACATTGTAACTGTGTATAAGATCAATGGATAGGATGATTTTATTTTGACATTTTGGGTCTGTTTGTTTTGTTCACACATCGTTGTTAATATAATGGAATTTTGTGCGACTGTCATACAAGTGAGAGGTTTAGCTACCTATAAAACCAGTTTTAATCCACCATTTTCTACATAAGAAAATGCCTGTACCAAGTCAGGAATATGACAGTTGCTATCCATTCGTTTGATGTGTTTGAGCTTTTGATTTTGCCATTTGCTTAGGGACTTCTCGTTTAGAATTTTCCTCGGAGTTCGGTATTTTTGTTATTTTACTTTTTATATGAATAAAATTATTGTGAATACGAAACAGTCATGATAAGAACAGTATATGGCAGTCTTCTGTATCAAGGTGATTTTCTGATGTACACATTTTCTTTTCGTGTATTTTGCAGATGAGATCTTCTTTTATATAATCAAAAACTCATTAAAGATACCAGGCTTATAATTTGTTACGCCAGATTGAAGAGCATAGCATACAAATTTTTTTTTTTAAAATTGCCGAATACACCAAAGGCTATTTGTGCCTTGGGTTACATTAAAAAGATATAAGACTATAAGAATCCATCAAAACAACTATTTCATATATTAAGGCAACATTCAATGGTTCATTCCTCCTATTCCCACTTTTTATAAATCTGGTAAGAAAAGTTAAAATTTCATGTGGGAATAGGGGGAAAACTTGTGCAAACAAAGGATTATACTGTATAAACATTGTTTAATCAACTTTTAATTGACAAGTGTTATTTTGGATAGTTAATAGGTTATTTTTGTAGAAAAGTTGTTTTTTTTTTGTATGTGTATGAATTCTGTGTTTTTAATTTAAATAGATATGCAAGAAATGGAAACAAATATAAGTAAATTATTTTATTTCTTTTATAACACAAATTCAACAGTAGATTCAAGCAAGCATTATAATATGAAACAAACTATACAAATTAGCAAGATTCAAGATTCTTTATTTTTCAAACACCATATAGTTACAATGGTTCAAAGAAGTTCATCAAAAGTTATAACATAACATAAACAAACATGACAAGATGAGATGCAAAAAGAAATAAAATAAGATAAACAGTAATAGCGAAGAGTGGTGATTAACCAGGAAGACTTACTTGAAAAGTTATAACGCTGATAAATTTGCACAGCTTTTTTAACTTATTTTTGTATTTTAACTGAAATAGTTTTCCAAACTTTAGTATATTAATTCTGTGCAAAAAAAAAGTATCCAAATATTGTGCTCGAAAATTTGCCAAAGAGCTACACAGCAAAATGTAATGAAATTCATCACCAACCTCGTTGCATTGACATAAATTACAATATCTATTGTTACGTTCAATTTTATTCCATCTACCAGTTTCGATGGGTAACTTGTGGTTTCCCGTTCTAAATCTACAATATGTTATTCTATCTTTATCACTTAAAATATTCAGATATTCTTCATATTCAAATTTTTGTTTAAACAATTTGTAGGCCAAACCTTTTGATGAACAGTCAATATCTGCTCTCCATTTCTACTGAAACTGGTCAAATAGCTTTTGTTTAAAACTAATACCCAACCATTTAGAATTAAAATTTCCTTGTGATAACCATGATAAATTGCTATATCCACATCAATCTAATGTATCTTTAACGTATTTCAACCAATCTGACCTAAATTGGTTTTCAGAATTCTTCAAGAACATGTATCTGTATAATATTTTAGCAATCCATTTACCATTTTTTACCAAAAATTAACCATATGCAGCTGTATATATAAAGACATGGGATAAATACCAAGTTCACCATAAATCATAAAATTAGGTGTCGACTTCTTAAGATTTAATAATAATTTTCAAAATTTTAAATGCACTCTTTCTATAATTTCAGTATTACTGAAACCCCAAATCTCACATCCATATAGAAGGATTGGCTTCACAATTTTATCAAAGGGATCATTGTCTGTAAAGGGTGATTAGCTGATGTTAGTATCAATCTGATCAATGTCGGTTAGGGCATTAAACCACACATCTTCGACCTCAGCAGTAGGTACAAGTGGAAGGACAGCAGCACGGTGTACTAGTTGATGAATGTTGTTGTCTTTCTTGTATGAAACCCGAATCCCTGTTCATTGTGCTTTTCTCCAGATGCATTGTGTGTAGTGGAAAAAACAGTGGTTTGCATTGATGTAAAGAAATACATAATATGCTGCATTTCGGATGGCGACTTCATAGTCCAGGAAGATAGTGGTAGGCTGAAGTTGTAGTTGGTGTTGGTGACATACATCTTTGAGTAAAGTCAGGAACCTTGTGTATATTAGTTCGCTCTTGGCTGGAAGTGAACTGTGTACCAGTGGATAATGCATTGCGCCGTCAACCATTGCGTGGAATGTGTAAAGTTTGAAGAATAGGCTTGGACAGGAGTAAAATGTACCTTCATCATACTAGGATATAATATCTGCTGCTGCTTATGTGTTAGATTCGTTTAGGTACTGAAGATTAACATACACCCAACTGTGTTGTCGTCTGTTATCAGGAATGGGTCACCTTTGGTAGTACGTGCCCAAATACCCTCTATGTTGATTTTATCAACGTTTTTGGTAAAACTGGTAGGTTCTTCGAATTCTTGCGTTTGTTGTACATGGAAATCTTGCAAGATGGGAAAGTTTGTTTTATTATTAACGATGACAATTTTTTAGGTTTACAAATTCAATGATTTTTTTAATCTTACTTCTATATATCTGACTTATTATGTTTTTCAGATTCATTTATTCAGAATGTTGTACAAGGTAGATATTAGTTAAAAATGTAAATCTTTCATGTAGATGTACCCTGCAACTTGCGGCAAGACAATAACGTGTATCATTTTATCAAAGGTATTGCCCATTAAATGCATGAAATTCTGCTTTAATGTCAATACTGACATATATCAGTAGGTGACGTTCTTATTATTTTGAACAGATTTATCTCATCCCCAGGAGGGGTATTTTGAGAAGGTACAGTTTCCTCCTGATCCGCTAGACGAAAAAAATTACGTGTCTTCTCCGGAATGGTATGTTTCACAAATATATCTGCTTAATTACATTTACTTCCAATTGAGATGGTTTAGTTGAACATTAAAAATTTAAATCTATTATTCTTTAGCCTAGCATGCATGATTATCAAGACATTAGCAAAAACAGCCGCATATAATAAATCGCACAAATGACCAAGTGCTCGGTGAGGTATAGAAAAAGTATTTTTAGACAATTTGCAGGACAGAGAAAATAGATAAGAGATATCCTTCTACAAATATCCCCCGCATCTTCACTGAATTCTTCTCGCAAAAGAAAATATACAAAAAATACTCTATCTGTCATACTATCTATACATATACTGTTTTATTTAAAATATATTCTAACCAATAATGGGAACAATGCGCAAATTTTTCATTTCTTAAAAAAAATATTAAGAAAACTTGCATGGTCATGCAATATAATATTTTAGTCAAGATGATTTTCATCAATTTCTGTGAAATAGATATTATGAATAAATATCATAGATTGTTATACTATCCTTATATTATAATAGTCCGAAATTGTTGATTGTTGTCTATAAACGGATCCCCAAAAAAATAGTATATAATTACAGGATGTAACGCAAAGGCAATCCTCTTTTTTGTTTCATTCAATTTAAAAGGACAAAATATGTAGTCGCCGGAATTTACATTTTAAATAACTTATCTTAAAAATTGTTAGAAATAGATTCCGCATTGGATCTTCAAACCCAGGCGCGATACAAGATACCATCTTAAAGCCGTGTTTATTGCCGAGTTAGTGTTGGTTTTAGTGCTTCTGTACACGTTCGAACTATAATCAGCACAATTAGTGCTAACGTTTTCTTTTTTTGTCTTTTTCCATGATAAAAATAGTCATTGGTTGCCTGACTAAACATCTATCAACTAATCAGAAATTTAAAAATATTTGATTTATTTACCGTGTAATTTGTGTGGTTAAGAAGAAGGTTTTAATTTCATTTTATAGTCAAATTCACTCAACTGGAAAAATAAACACTTCCGATAATCTTCAATAATTGCACTTATAACATCAATCGTGAGGTAGGGAAAAAAACAACATATCAGGTATTAAAATATTTATTAATTCCGATTAATTGGCGTTTGACGTAAACTATAGTAAAGTAAAGGTACATTTTATGTTCCATATCCGCAATGACAATCATATAAAATCCGTAGCCTTCATCAAGCTACCAAATTTCAAAACGTCAAGGATCGGTTCACTATGAAAATTTTCAAATTTTGGTTAATCCTGTTATTTGTATGTTCAACTACTGCTAGACGAAAACGACATGCTCATAGATGCCGTGAAGAAGTTGATCTTGAAAAATGCGGTAGGTAATTCCTTTTGTACCCTAGAAGATGTTTAAGATGTTTTTCTGTATAAAACGGAGTACAGCACTCCGAAGCTGTGAAAGAATTTAATTAAAGTATAGTGAAGAAAGTCACTAGTCAAAATAAACTCAAGAAATATACAAAACATTGGACTGCTGCGTATGTATAATGGGATATACTTTATTAAATTGTTAAGCTAAATCGTACAAAAAATATTTGTTGTATTTTTGAAATAAACCTGTCATGTAAAACAATAAATTCAACAGAATTTTAAGTAAGAAATTTCAATGAATGTTTATTATGTTTAACACACCCATGAAGCATTAGAACGAGTTTTCATATGACTCGATGCTGTACAACAAATAGATGTTTATTCTGTAATAAATTTCGATTTTTTTCAATTTAAATAATTTTTATCTAAAAAAAACACAAAACAGATTTAATACGATATTGATCAGATTTTTTATTTGAATGTATCTTTACGATTTTTTTAATACGTAAATTTACAATTTACAAGTAGAGGTCATTGCAAAATATTAGAAACGTAAAAATTTGCAAGATTTTTACGTTTCTTTATTGTCAGTGATTCTTACAGCACGCAAAAATAAAGAATTTATTCTTTAAAATTTTACAATGAATTCAACTTGCAAATAATTTAATTCAAAGTTATGTATGTATTGCAATTGTTACATTGTTATGAAGCATTTCATACAAGTTTTGGTTTTAGATAAAAAAAAAAAATCTCTTTGAAATTAGGGTTTTTGAAATAAAAATGAATAGGAGGGAATGTTGGGTACAATGTATATGTCTTTTTTTTTAACGTAACAATAACTTTATTGCATATTTGCTATAACAACTTACTAAGTTTACAGCTTTTAACTTTGTATCCCTCATGTTAATTTACCTAATAGTTAAGGGAAGCACTATTTGGTAAGATATAACTTATTCGTAATATTAGTATCTACTTCATTCCATAAATGTATTTGATAAATTATTGTGAATACACATACAGATCTTTGTTTTTTTTTTCTTCTTTTTTTTTATATATATATATATAACTTAGTTTTCCAGAATCAACTCCGTTATCGATGGGATCCGTGTTCCATTTAATTTGGGCGCAGCGCTGCTTCAGCAAACATGTGCGCTATCGGATAGAGTTATGATATGTGTCATCTAAATATATAATGTATATGTCAATAAGAAACATCTCAACTACGTACTACATTAAAAAAAAACAATGACATATGCAGACTTTTTTATGCTTAACGACAGATTATTTAAACCCGTCATTGTTTAGTACATATAATTCAATGGTTGTTTGAACAATGCATTGATGTTATATTTTTGTTTATTATTTTTTTTCAATTTATATATATACTGTCACACCTAAACCCTGTTTGAATAAATATTTATATGGTAAAGAAAGTTGTGGAGAATTTGATCTTAAAAAGTGATTGATAAAAGGTTTTGTACACGAGAAAAATCTTAATTCAGATTTATATGTTATCACTTTTATCATGAACTAATATTGAAATGTTTTGTTTATAATTACAGAATATAATCTGTCCATGCATGGTTTCGATCACTATCTAAATCAAAGTGAAGTTGGATATGGTGATATACTATGTATGGTAAGTCTTTGTTTAATCAGTCAAAACAATGGACAAATAAATTTATTAAAACAATGCCCGTGAAAACGAAACGTTTTTTGTTACACACCCTGTATTGGAAACTAAACTGCTCAGTGAAAAGCACGAAACTCACCAATTCTTCTATTGCTTTTTACCGAATTATTTGTACCTACCATGAACAAAATGACAAGTGTCACGTGCGAATCAAGATCTCTTATCATACCCAGTTTTTTTGTGGAGTTCGTGGTGCTCAGCCTTTGTTTTCTATGACGTTTATTGTGGGCTTGGTAATGTTTTTTCGTAATTTGATATGACGTTGTTAAAAAAAAAATAAGAAGATGTGGTATGATTGCCAATGAGACAACCATCTACAAGAAATCTAGACACAGAAATTAACAACTATAGGTCACCGTACGGCCTTCAAAAATGAGTAAAACCCATACTGCATAGTTAGCTATAAAAGGCACCGAAATGACAAATGTAAAACAATTCAAACGAGAAAACTAACGGACTGATTTATGTACAAAATTATGAACGAAAAACAAATATGATAAACAGCAACAAACGACAACCACTGAATTACAGGCTCCTGACTTGGGACAGGCACATACAGAATGTGGCGTGATTAACCCTCTCCCTAACCTGGGACAGTGATATAACAGTACAACATAAGAACAAACTATAAAAATCAGTTAAAAAGGTCTTAACTCATCAGATCGATACAAAGCAGAAATACATCTAACAAAAACACATAGTGGACGTGGCAGGGTACTTATACATCCCCACAACAAAAACACACCAAGTACAGATCTGAGAGTACTCGTAGTTACTGACAGCTAGTCCAAAGCCAATAACAAATTATAAAAAAAATCGTGCATCTAAGACTATAATATCAATCAGTACACATTAAATATCCAATGGATTTAGTGTAATGACGTCATTTATAGTCCGAGAAAATCATGACCTTGTGCAATGCCAAGATACAGGTATCGACATATTGTAGAGCCGTGAATGGGCATATGTATATAAAAATCACATTTAGTTCCTCTTCGACTTTTATTTTGCGACAGGTGATATTTAAGTGACAAAAACTCTAATTAAAGCACCCCCACCCAAAAAACACAATATCATAACTATAGATGACTTTTTCGTTTAAAAGAATAAGTTTATTAGCGGTTCATGTAGTTATATTGCCTACAGAATGTATTTGTAATAATAAAAAAAAGAAGGTCAAAAAGCTTTGCATAAATGCTTGCAAAATATGCTTGTTTTTCGGACAATATGTGTTAAATTTAGGTATTATTAACGAAGAACACAATCAGAATACTTTGCATTTCTCAATGTGTGACATCAATTAACAATAGCTTAAATGACCTTTCATGATTAAATTGTTAAGGGTGAAACTTCACTATTGGCTTTTGACTATGGTGTCAGTAAACTTTTGTTGTTTCATCATACTGTATGTCTTGTGGTTTTTTTAATTTTTTGTCTATAAATGCACTACTTATTTGTGTGTATATTGACATTTTTCTTTTTTCTTATTTTTCAGATTAAATGGTTACGTGATCATATGGGAATTCATATCCCACAACGACGTTTGTGATGGACTTCCAAATAAGCAAACGAATTGTCTTTTTGTTATTGGTGCTATTATGTTAAAGTTCAAAAATGCCAAATGACCGTTTTGTTAATCTCATGTATATATTTGTTAAATATTTATTAATTGTTATGTTTCTGAATAAAAGTGTTTTCAGATTTAAAGTGTTTATTATGATATAATCCATTCAAGTGTTACGGCAAGTGGTGTACCTTATGAGTGCACTGGATCGATACCGCTGTTTGTGGAGTATCAGTCCACGAGGGTATCATCAGTTCAGTTCGTAGTCATTACTTCTGTACTGACATGATTTACAACATAACATCGTATTAAGAAATTCAAGTTCTAACATCCTCAAGCAAAATTGACCGTATATGGATTTTGGCTATTATATTAATGTCCTTTTTTTGTCATAAGGCTCTTCAACTGTGTCAGTTCTTGTACATCCTTGGCTTTCGAACTATTTGACTTTGAGCGTCCTGGATGAAGTAAAAGCGCTTCGGATCCATATGCTTTATATCGTGTTATGTTCATATATTCGTTGAATAGGACATGGTTATCTACTTTCGAAGCATCTGGCATCTTGGATCTCATTCAGCAGTCAGGTTTCCGTCATCTACTTTCAGTTTTTATAGCATTGATTTCTAAATATGTCTCATGTATTGAGTGATATGTTTTGAAATGTTCGCATGTGTCATTATTCAAAGAGTTTTGTACAATTGTCATTTAATAAATTAAACGAAACTGTAGTTTAACGATATTCAAATATAATAAATCAGTAAGAAGATACAAGTTAAGACAAAAAATACATAAACAAAAACTCAGTAAATCCAATGAACTCCAAAAGGATCGAGACCGGGTGCATCGACAGCTGGGTAAGCAATACAGGGGTAAATGGAAGTTCGAGGGTGTAATACCGGTACGTAATGCTATTGGAACTGACATATCATATTACTTTAATACTGATACCCGATAAATTATAAGTCGTTTATTAAATTCTCTAGTCATCAACCCGACTCTAAATGTATTCTTCTGCTGGGGTGGTTATCTTTTAGATATTATATTTGGTTAATTGATCTTTTAAATATGATATTTTCATAGTTCCAATAGATGGTTTTAAACACCAATAACAAAAACAATTTTTCAAAATTCGTATATTATGCATCAAATCAAATTTTATACCTTGTTTTTTTGTATCCCCATTACACTCAATGCAAAGGTAATATCGAAACACGAGTGACTGAATCCAATTTAAGAATTTGGTTTAGCATTGATACCTTGTCCGGATTTAGCAATGCTGTTGGTCCTTTTAGGGATTTATACGCTATTCAACGTAGAAACATTAACTGTTAAATTTTGCATCTGGTACAGGAAATTAGTACTTTTAATATTATTGTTAAAGTCGTGACATATCAAATGACTTGAAGATGAAGGCGACTTTTCAACGGTGGTTAAATTTGCGTTAAGGTGCCAATAGTCATACTGGTCATAAATCCGGATTACTTTTTTGTCAATTTTGATTATACATTTTTGTAGAGTACTTATTGTCTGTTGTTTGTCTACTCGCTTCTTATTTTTTAGTTGATTGGTTTTATATATTAAGAATTTGATTCATTATCCATTCTTATTTTCCAAATCATTTGGAAGTTCGTTATTTTGAAATTTCAATTTTGTTTTTAGTTGAACAGTTAAATTCATACATACAATATCTGTAAAATGTCTCGTATACAATAAATCGGATTATATAATATACATGTAATTAGAAAAAAAACCAATCATATTAACGCTTGTCGAACAAAGTCCAAATTTGTTACCAACGTAAACAATTTTCAATGGCAGAACATTTTAAAAGGAGAATTAAGGAGGTAAAATAGGAAAAAGATGTTTTGGTCTTACTGATTCTTATTTTTATCTTAGTAAGAAAAGTAGAGATTTCAAAACCTGAATACCAATCCATCTTCTTCGTTGATTACCACTAAGCAACCACCAACTAAAATCACTCATAAAGGGTCTTGATTTCTTAAATAGATAATACCATTGGCATTGCTTAGTGATAATTATGTTCGTTCGCACGTCTGTATCTTCACACCCTATATCCATAACCCCCTTCACTACTGGACATATTTTCTTGAAAATCTTCAACACCTACATACAATGTTCATCTCCTGCTTTAATTTTTGTCCAAATTATTTTTAGAGGTTTCCCATAGCCAAACAGTTACTTTGACATATCTTCAAACATGACAAATGATGTAGTACAACTCCTCCTAAAAAACAGTGATTTCGATGAAGCATTCAAGGAATTTTTGTCACAAACCGTCATTGTACACCCAATTTTATCTTTATCAGATTAATATTTGGGATTTTCCCTAATATAACATTGACTTAACCATATTTGCAAATACATGTATCTGATAAATGACGGAAGGCTTTTTTTATCCATAACTTTTCTAAACCAGTAACTTGATTTCCGAATACGGGGAGCGGAGGAGTATGTATTTGTGAATTATGTTTAGTTATGTCCTAATTCGTTCTAAACTAAAGGAACATACGCTATCACATATTTTTATAGACACAAATAACGAGCTACGTATATCGATTTAAGTAATCTTTTATATCTACGAGCAATGACTTTTATACTTTACCCATTTAAATCATATCCAGTGACAAGGCAAATCGTTCTTTTCTCGTTTACAATTCATTACTGGATTTTACCGTTTACTGTGCTTTTTTATCAGGTTCATATACATGATATATTAGTTCATTGTGAGGAATTCTTTTTTTTTATTAATAGTTTTTTCTTAAATTTTTAAAACATTTAAATAATATGATTATCTGCTGGGAAAACAATGTCAAGTTTTATCTAAACAAATATGCGCAATAAGAAAACTCGTCCTAGAAACTTTCCTTTCTGTATATGTCCGATACATTTAGCAAAATGTGGGTTTTCCTAGCAGCTTTAAACTGTTAATGAACAAACTGGCATATACTGATATTGCGTTGAAATTTTCTAACGGAAAGTTCAGTCATACGTTTGGACGCCAAATATTGTAAATGAAGGGGGAGCAATACAACTAGACCGAGTCATACAGTTGACGTTATATGATCTTATATGGTTGTGGCTATTTTGGGGGGGGGGGGGGGTATTATTTGGTAATATGACTCTTCACGTCTTTTGGTACTTATACACCCTTTGCTTTGAGCTTTCCTGATTGAAGTATGTCAACAAAAGCGCTTTGGACGCATCAAATTGTAAAGTGTTATTTTCATTTTTTATTGCACTGGGTAGATACCGTTGCTGGTAGACGACTGTTCGTCCGCGATGGTATCAATGGCACAGTACACTGCTGGTAGACGACTATTCGTCCGCGGTGGTATCAATGGCACAGTGGTCAGTGTTTCGGTGCTTACATGATTTATTACATACCTTTTCTTAATTGTCCGTTTATAAATGTTTAAATTAATAAGAAGCTAGTTTTCAAGTTACTTAGGCAAAGTTCACCTTCGATGTTTTTTTGCCATTATTTTTAGGTTCTGTTAAGTCACATAGCTCTTCACGTGTTTCGGTACTTATACATCCTTGGCTGCAAGCGTTCCTGATGAAGGTAAATTCCGAAATGCGTCAGACGCATACAATTTATAAAGTGCTTTTTTCAGTTTGTAGATAGATATAATGTCATAGCAATAAATTACGGTAAAAAGATACATATTTGTTTAGGGGCCAGCTGAAGGACGCCTCCGGGTGCGGCAGTTTCTCGCTGCATTGAAGACCCATTGGTGGCCTTCGGCTGTTGTCTGATCTATGGTCGGGTTGTTGTCTCTTTGACACATTCCCCATTTCCATTCTCAATTTTATTGGATACACAAATGAGAAAGTAGCATTTAAATAGAATAAAACCAGACCAACATTTAGAGAAAAACACAAGATTTTCAACAATTGACAAGTTACTGTACTATAGAACGTTTGCTGTAGACCGAGTTTGATTCTGGCAACTACATTTTAGGGATTTCTAATGTTCCCTCAAGGTGCTAAAATGTCATTACTCAGTAAAGAGCTAATAAAAGTTATAATTTTTCCAAGCTGAATTTTAGGTTCCTGCTACAGAACAGACAATTTCAACATTACAACTACTAGCACCTGTTATATTCATGAAGATATTTGAAAAAGAAAGTAAAATAATGTAAGTGCATTGCAGTTCCAAAATATTCCAATATGTAAAGTTTGATTTTCCCTTGCTCAAGCTGGACGTTTTGTTTTGTTTTTATTTTACCTTTAAAGGGATCAGTCGAAACCGTATTTGACTCTGTGATTTTTTTTTTGGTGAAAATTGAAAAATTTTGTTGATTATATAGTGGTTTTGAATTGGTGTGGTCTGTATACTACCGGTATCATGATTTGTTTTCCCATTATGAAATTTCTAAGGTATGCGGATGTTCCTGACCAAGTTCATTCAAATGCGATTCGATCCACTCCAAAAAAAATACCAACAATTATATTGATAAACGGGCAAAAAAATAAACAAAATAAACAGCTTAATTTGATGGTTTAGGTAAATATACCAGAAAGGAAGCATTAAATCAAAACAGCCTGTAGCTTGGAATGATGAGAAAAAAACTACCCAAATTTTTCATCTCTAAAAATACTTACCAAGTCATTTACCTTATGTTTGTACCATGGCAAGTTTAGACAAAACAATCAAAAAAAATATTTTAATTCATGAAGGAAAATAAAGGTATAAAGGAAGGTCAACCGGTGTACTAATATTTATTTTTTCTATTCATGAAATTGTTTGAAACATTAAAGTTTTTTTCTATCCCTAGACTTGAATGGCCTTAGTCAGATTTGATATAATATTAACTAGGATTTTGCCATTTGATAACAAACTTTCCGTTTGAATTTTCCTTGTAGTTCGGTATTTTTTGATATTTTAATTTTTCAATGATCGTCGAAAACTGAAGAAAACACTTTATAAATGTCATGCGTCCGAAGTACTTTTATGGATTAACCTTCATCAGGAACGCTCAGAACCGAATATTGAAATCCAAGGATGTATTAGAACCGAAACAGTTAAAGAGCAATATGACAAAAAGAACCTTAAGAAATATCCAAATCAATCTAACGTTAACTTTGCCTGAGGAAGTTGAAACATTAGTTTCTTTATAACGTCTAAATTTATAAACGGACAATTTTAGAAAGGTTTGTTATAAATCATGTCAGTACCGAGGACTGACTACTGAGCAGATTATACACTCGGGGACTGACAGTCTTCTAGCAGCGGTATCGACTCAGTGCTGTAATAAATGAAAACAATTTAATGCGTCTGAAGCGCTCTTCTTGATTTACCTTCATGAGGAATGCTTAAAGCCTTATATTTCAATGCCAAGGCTGTTTAAGAATCGAAACAGTTGAAGAGCAATATAACCAAAAGGTTCTAAAAAAAATAGCAAAACAATCTAAGGCCAACTTTGGCTGAGGTAGTTGAAACTTGAGTTTCTTTATAATTTCTAATTTATAAACGTACAATTTAAGAAAAGAATGTTATAACTTGCAACCCACTTCTTTGTAGTATGGTTCTGGTCGCTCTAGGGCTTTATATCTGATATAGATCGAGACCACGAATAATTGTACATACATGTAAATTTGTATGAATTGTAAAATATAACAATTCGTAGAAGTGAAGACAAAGATTCAAATCATTGATGTATAAATGATCGACTCTATGAAATTTGTTGTGAAACATCGGTCATTCGTTGAATATATAGCCATATCGAGTTCATCTGCCAATGAAGGTAATTAAAATGTTAATAACCCTAACAGAAAGCATTGACGTCACAAATAAAGATTGATATTTTTGCAAACGTCATTAGGTCAATCGGTACAAAATTGAGTGTGTAAGTCCCGGAACTTGTAACTAGTATTGATTAAGGGCTTTTGATCATAGATTTATTCAAACAAATTTTAAGATTATGGTATACAATCATCTTGGCGATTTAATAATATCAAAATTAAATACTAGTAGATTTCAAGCATAAACGGACCATACTGATTATATATCTAGTCTAGGATCAACATCGTTACCATACTTTTTCTTTACGTGCAGTTGAAAAATAACAATAATTGCAGATATTCTTTTATTAAAGTAGAATTGAAAAAATGTATCATTTTTTATTCTTCGCACATTAAATCCTTTCAATTACTTGTAATCATATGTCAATGAAAATGAAACATATGTAATGAAATGTGTAATACTATATCAATAAATATTTGAATGACAGTATGAATAATAAATAAATAAATAAATAAATAAGAACCAATGATTAAATTACAAAATCAACATAATGAAAATGAAAAGTGTGTTTAAAAACGTGGATCCTTGACAAAATCTTGTTGTAACAAAACTGTTTGAATAAATATGGAAAATGATTGTTCAATTTGTTTTTATGAATAGAAATGTTTTTTTGTGAATTTTACATTAAATATATTAATGAATGAAATAATGATTTTTGTGAAACTACAACTTGTTTGTTATTACCCCGCCTATTTTTATTCAGCTGCTGGGGTTATTTACAGTTTTTCCTAGCACTTTCTATTCAATTTATTTAACACAAAGGAAAATACTATGGTTTCAAAAAGTAAAATAAAGATTTTTTTTTTTTAAATGTGAAACTTCACCATCTTCACAATTTTGTATTATGTTCTGAGCAGCTGTCGTCGTTCTCTGTGGTGTTCTTAGATTCTGCTTCGGTGGTATCCTCTATGGGTTCTTCATCGTCTGTATCTGTAATTTTCCGAATGTCCATTGATTGTTCTGAACTCGGACGTTCTTTGTTGTTGTCTTCTGATTCTGGTATCTTTGTTTCGTCAGTTTGGCTAAGACTCTCCAGCGAATCTGTTATGCTGAAACAGGTTTAACGTTTTAATGGCAGGTTTTGATCTCTGATACTTTTGTAATCTCAAAATGGTACTACTTAATATTTGAAATTACTATGAACTTTTTCAAAAAGGATAACAAAAGTTCCATTCATAACAAATGCTAACGATTAACCTTTTTAGTTATGATGATCAACTCTGAGATATACACTTAATCATCTATCAGATTGATTTTGTCTGGAAAGTTTAACATAGTATCTGTAAAATCAGGTAACAATCTTAAACGTTTCTTCTTATTTTTAGCAAATTTTATGGTGATAAGTCAACGAATTAATCTAACAATGTTTGACACAGTGGCAAGTGTGCTACCAAAGTGACAGAAAACTCATGAATAATTAATTTATATTTTCATTTGTGTCAAGTAATCAATGACGTTTAAGCGTTTTAAGTGTTTGACTTCACAAACATTTGCTTGTTTTGTTATCCAGTCTACCCGATAAAATTTATTGGCGATTGAAATCGAAATCGTATTAAAAAAATAAACCGTATTATGGTTTTAAAGTATGCAAAGAAATACTACAAAATACCTTGCTTTCAAGTCGGTGTCTTGTGTTTCACCGCCCAATGTTTCAGTAGAAGAGGAAGTGCAATATGCAATTGAAGATTCTGGAATAATTTCTTCTAACTTTGTATCTTTTTTACCATGCAATGAAGTAATTAAATCAGCAGGCGCACTTTGTGTTGCTATAATTAAAGCATTAGCAGATATTTGAAAAGGTAAATGGAAACATTACAATGCAACTGTTATCATATATTTGCTTATCATAATCTAAAATGATAGAAAAAAGTAAAATAACAAAAATAGCGAACTCAAAGGAAAATTCGAAACGGAGGGCCCCTTATCAAATGGCAAACTCAAAGGCTCATACACATCAAATGAATGGAAACAACTGTGATATTCCTGACTTGGTACAGACATTTCCGTATGTAGAAAATGGTGGATTAAACCTGGTTTTAAAGCTAGCTAAACCTCTCACTTGTATGACAGTCGCATGAAATTCCATTAAATTGACAACAATATTTAGTCTGTTATCCCACTTATTTAGAAGTTACAGTTATTTAGATAACCTCAACCAGCAAAAAAAAAAGAAACTGAAAGCTCCAAGCTGAAAATAATTACTAGTACATTAGATCCCAAACTTGATAATATCTCTTCCATTCCTTAATGTCATTGATTGTTTTTAAATTTCTATGTTTAGAAAGACGATGTTTATAATTATGGCAGAAAGCGTTATTCCACATTGTTTTGTAAGGATATTACTAATGTATTCATAACTAAAAGTGGCCCTTCGACATCATTGTTCAATTGGTATTAAGTTTTTTTATCAAATCGTCCGTTTTCGTAAATGTAATTATATGTATGAGAGCTGCCTGGATAATTCATTAGAACAAGATAGTAGTACGTACATCCCCCCCCTCTTTCGAAAAAAAAATCAACTTTACAGCAATTTTTAGAAAAATAAGTATGATTTTGTTTGGCAAGTTATATCACCAACGAAATGCTGACAAGTTGTTGGTTCGTGAATCATTGTTTTGTAACATCGGTAAACTAATGTCGCCTTAAGGGAATAACCAATGTATAATTGCTCATAGTATAGCAGCTATTTTGCCTTAATCTTATTTTTTTAAATTGGATACTTTACTGATGTTACCTCTTATATATTAGTTAATGTAATTAATAACTATAATTATGAACCAGATTAGCATCTAAACCAATGTTTAAGAGGACTATGACAATTTTGGCAACGAGAAAACAAATTGAAAAAACAGCCGGTTGAACAGAGATGAGCGATAACTGAATGAGTAGCAATAGATAAAAATGGTGTTCCTTAAACTTAGTTTAAACGTTTAAAGGTATTGACTTACAGAAATCAGATATTCTCGATGTTTCGTCTGTTGCATCAGATATAAGTCCTGGCTCTGACCTAGGTAAAAGAACAAATGACATGTTTCCTTTTCTAAAGTAGAGCAGTTAAACGATATGCCATAAATAACCGTTGCAATTACATTTATTTTTCAGAATCTTTCCGTAAGTAAGAATGTTGTATGATGTTTAGCAGTATCCGCCACTGAGCGTAATAATACTAAGTGAATAGAGAAAAAAGTATCCCCAAAATATATTGTTTACCTCCTATCTCTTGGCAACAATGGAAGATTTTTATTTACTAGGATTGACGGACTGAATGCTTCAAAATTCGTATATGTATATCATTTATTGTGCATGCTATTCATTTCCGTAACTAATTGTTGGATACATTACAACAGTGTATTGAATTGCAGGATTTCCATTCTGTGATCTCTTAAATTATATTGAAAGTTTTAATAAACTGTACGAAAATAAACACTCGATAAATTTAAATATTTAAAATTTTTGAAATTAATATTTCCCGCCTGCATCAATCTTTATATTTTCAACAGTCATCACAGTACCTATTTAGATCTGTAATTTGTGTATCCTTTGACCAGTTTTCTTCATCGCTCATAGATAACTTTCCTGGAAAGTCCACTAAGTTGCCATCTGATATCGTTGGAGGTAAACTCCAAAATGAATCTTTTTTAGAAAAAGAAATAAAAAGAAACTAAGGTGTTCAGTTAAAATCGCAAGTATAAAAAAGACAAAAATATCTTGGCAAAAATAGATTTTGCTATTGTTGCAATAGATATGAACAAAATTCTGTTTTGTTGATATATGATAAGTATTGACAAAACTGTTATCTTTAAGCTCTTTACGCAAAGAAACTTGCGTTATACAAAAAATCTTCTTTAATTATAATGATGTAACAACAGATAAATAGTGATGAACATTTCTAAATATTTTGCATGTTGAAGGATAAAGTGTTGAATATAGCAACCTCGTATGCCAAGACTTCTTGGTACTGGAATATGCGTAGAAATTGATAGATTTGACTTTCATTAAATCTTAAATGAAAACGTTTGATAGTACAAAGAAGTATGAAAATTAAATATATTGGTTTCACTATGGTAAGTAATTTATTTTCGTTCAAAATAACTATCGGTATAAGAAGACAGAAATCTCAACTAATTCATCGAACATACCGCCACTATGTATTTTTGATTATCGTATCCTCAACTAATGATTGTATTTATTTAAAATCAAACTATTTCTTTACATACATGGGTCCAATTTCCAATGTTTTTATTGTGTATGTGTGTGGTTTTTTATCTGATCCTTAACAATCAGGTTTTCATTGTTGGAAACCAGATTACGTTTTTCTCAATCATAAACTTCACAACTAGAATTCTAAATTATTTATGACTGACAATACTTCCTTACCGACATTTTCTATTTCACTGCTAGGTTGTTGTACGATCAATGGTATTGAGTTTAGGTCTTCCTCACTATCTGAACTGGTATGATCCGATTTTCTGTGCGATACGCTTATAATACTTTCCTTGCTTTCTGTAGTTTGACTTGAATTTCTGACAGCAATCTCGTCTTCATTAGATGAGCTATACGAAGGGAAACATTTACTTTAAAAGATAAGACTAATGTAATACGTATTATCTTCAATAGGGGAATATACTTTAAATTGATCAGAAGAACACAGTCAATGAATACTAGAAGACAAATGTGGTTAACTATGTTATATAATATGAATATTTATGTGTGCTGTATCTGATAAATGTATCGATATCCATAAATAAATGGTCAATAATACTACAGTGAACACAATGAGAGTCCCTCTTTTGGAGACTGATATACCTATATTCATTGTAAAAGTTTCTCAATAATAGTTTGAGAGTCCCTATATGGGAGATTGACATACCTATATTCATTGTAAAAGTTTCTCAATAATAGTTTGAGAGTCCCTATATGGGAGATTGACATACCTATATTCATTGTAAAAGTTTCTCTATAATAGTTTCAGAGTCCCTATATGGGAGATTGACATACCTATATTCATTGTAGAAGTTTCTCAATAATAGTTTGAGAGTCCCTATATGGGAGATTGACATACCTATATTCATTGTAAAAGTTTCTCTATAATAGTTTCAGAGTCCCTATATGGGAGATTGACATACCTATATTCATTGTAGAAGTTTCTCTATACTAGTTTCAGAGTCCCTATATGGGAGATTGATATACCTATATTCATTGTAGAAGTTTCTCAATAATAGTTTCAGAGTCCCTATATGGGAGATTGACATACCTATATTCATTGTAAAAGTTTCTCTATAATAGTTTCAGAGTCCCTATATGGGAGATTGACATACCTATATTCATTGTAAAAGTTTCTCTATAATAGTTTCAGAGTCCCTATATGGGAGATTGACATACCTATATTCATTGTAAAAGTTTCTCTATAATAGTTTCAGAGTCCCTATATGGGAGATTGACATACCTATATTCATTGTAAAAGTTTCTCTATAATAGTTTCAGAGTCCCTATATGGGAGATTGACATACCTATATTCATTGTAAAAGTTTCTCAATAATAGTTTGTTCTGTGAAATCAAAAACGTTCAATCACGTTTTTAAGAATCTATACAAGCACAGGGCCGGTCAAAATATATATAAAAAGATATAGCACCAAAACACCAATTTTGAACTGAAACGGCCACTTTTTCTGTTTTCCGGACAGCTCCCACTGCGGTAAATTTAGTGGGTACAATTTGTCGGAATTTTTGGTTTTTAATGCTCTACAACTTCGTATATGATTTGACCTTCCAACTGTTTTAATTCCAGCGTCACTTATGAGTCTAAAGAAAACGAAACACGCGTCTGACTTATCAAATTATCAGTTTGATTTGTTTGAAGAGATTATACAACCACTGGAACACATGGAATTTATAAAGAGTTGTTTTCATAATTGTTTTGACTGTTTATAAAAGTGTTTTCAACCCGAGATATAGATTGCCTAAGCCTTATTTTCGGTTTTAACGCTCTTCATCTTCGCATATGATTTGAACTTCCAATTGTTGTAATAGGAAAGTCACTGATAAGTTTAATGAAGACGAAACGTGCGTCTGACGTATCAAATTACCAGCTTGATATCACTGAATTATTTTTTTTGTATATACAATTCGCTTGCACTCAAATAAAGTCTATTAAGACTTTCAGTAGTGGTTATTTAACGGAACAAAACAACAACATACTGCATTGCTTGAAAAGCATCTTTGCTAAACAATACTGAATTTACAATAAGGAAATGGCCAAAAAACAACTCTTAACAAGACTTAAAGTTTTAAGTTCAGAGTTTTCTTATGTTGTTAAGATCAAAACCGTTAAAGACTAAACTATTTCTTTACTAGTGTAGTAGTTGGTGGTTAAACGTGTCTTACATGGAATCCGATCTTCGTTTAGGTAGAGGTGATGATGTAACTACCGTAACCTCTAACTCTAGGACATCATCCTTCTCAATACATGCTTCTTCATATAATTTTGAAACTGTCCTTTCCTGAAATAGTCAGCCAGTAATTATGATTCGACATGAATGAGACAACTATAAACTTCTTATTTTCTTTAAAGTTATAAAAACAAGCAATCTTTCCATAGATTATTGAGATTTGATCTTTCATAAGTCTTTCAAATAAACTAATTAAAAAAAACGTATATCAGGGAATTTTTGCATGTGTCTAATTTAGCTATTTTCGAGGTAGATATTTTACTGCCAAATTACCCTACAAGAACTTTCATATATAATTAAATGCATTATACAAGGCCATGAAATGCAAATAATGAGCACAGCGAAGATTTAACTGTCCCATTTAAGGCCCACATCTAAAAAAAAAAAAAAACCTATGCAAAAATAACCCGATCCGATATACGATATATGTATAAATGGAAATTGGTTGATTGACAAATTTTATATAAAAAAATTAGGCAATAAAAGTCAAATATGTATTAACCACTTATTTGGTTAGAACTCAAAAATGGATTTGGGTGTATTGTAACATTCCGTGTTTTAATTACATATACATAACTTAAATTCGTCATATTCGAATATTAAGTTCTCATTTTACTTAGTAGTTATATTTTGATATGAATAGTATCTTCCTATTGTAAAGTTCTATTGTTGAAGACTGTTTGTTGACCTCTAGATGTCATTTGGTTATTTGAGTCGTTGGGTTACTGTCTAATTGACGTAAATCAAGGCCATATCTCCTGTTCCTTACATAATTACCTTAGGATCAGCATTTTGGTTTGATGTTTGTTTCAAATCATCAGAATGTGCTACAATGATTGTCGAATTAGTTGGAGATTCAGTTTCCGTTGACCATTCTGAATTATTCGATGACTGGTCTTCCGTAGTATCATTAAATTTCTAAATTATATAACAAAACAAATATTATGTGCAGAAAATGATAAATATAGTTTTAATGATAACTTTTATTTTGCCCCTGAAATTGAAAAACTTGTTATATTCGTTAATCATTTCATAATATGTACTTTTATGAATGAATTAATATGATGCCATAGTCAGGTCACTCAAGTGAACACTATCAAATGTGATGTCTCTGTTAATTGCTTACGAACAAAGATATTTATTTTGCATATAGTTTTGGAGTGCGGGCGGGGGAGGGATGCTTTTTCGTACAATCTCCTTTAAAAATGTAATAAGGGGACGACCATTTGATATTCTGGTGGGGGCCAGAAGGATTTGTTTTGGATTGGTTATTTATTTTTGTGAACTAGAAGAAGAGATTATCTATTTTCTGCACTGTTGAAGCATGATTTTTCATTTTCATTAAAACAAGGGAATGATTATTTATTTTCAAAATTATATTTATAATATATGAAAACACACAAATTTAAAATTATTTTTTTTTTATTCCTAAATAGATAATACATGTATAGTCAAATCATTATGTACCATTAAATCAGAATTAATCATCATCCCCTGGAAGTGAATCTTCTGAATTCCAAACTGCATTTATTGCATACGTACAAGGTAATAAAGTGGGGGTGTAACTAAGCCACTTTTAAAAGTAATGTCAAACATATTTACCGAGCGGAGCGAGGCAAAAAAATCGGCGAAGGTTTTCGGGGTCGCTGAAGGCCCCAAGAAGATATAGAAAAGTGATGCAAAATCTTGCATTCTCTGCGTTTCCCAGATCCTTTCGTAATCTGAAACGCAAGTTCTGTTAATTATTTTTTCAACAATATTTTGGTCTCACAGCAAAATATATAGATTCAGTGTAAGAGTTTTTTAAGGGACAACATCAAAAGGCCAATATGTAGGATAAAGCAAAAAGTGTAATTCACAAACTTAATTATGTGGCTGCTTGTTTTTTTCTTCTTAGTGTTTTGGCTTGCAGATAATCTTTTTAATATACCTGTCAATTATGTGTTTTTTTTTCTCAAATTTAAGTTAAGAGGGGCTGATTATCATTGCTATAACTATGTCAAGTAAATTTTTATTACACATTTCAATTACAACTTGATGAACTTCCTAACTGAGATACAATTTGAAATACATGTAGTTTGTAAAATTAGATAAAAAGTCCTTAAATAAAATAAAACTCAAGTTTAAGAAAAATTACTAAATTACAAATAGAATGTAACACTAAGTGAATAAAGAAGGGCAATCAATGAACAAAAGACAAACCCTGGAAAAGATAAAACAACAAACAACAAACATTATAGACAAATAACACTGAAAACTAAAATTAAATGAGAAATATGGATCCCGAAAAACGGGGGCTATGTCAGAGGGTAAACAGAACTTGCTTCTTGCAAGGCTTTCGAAGTAAAAACAAATTGATATGAAGACAAGCTTTTGTTTTTGAAATTTCCTACCTGAGGCACTTGCCTTAATTTAGTTACAGCCCTGTTATGAAAGTGAGGTAAATGTTCCTAAGATAATATACATCTAGTTAAATGAAACCCATTTTCAGACATTTCAAGTACATTAATATTTATACAATGTATTATAAAAAAATTTGGTAAGTTTTTCCCGAAAAGAATATGAAAAAAGACGAATTTTGTAAGAATCTGGTGCCATTTCTTACTTTAGAATAGCATTTATAAAATGGCTAAAAAGACATGCCGAGTTATTTATTTTCAATACATTGTAGGTCAGGTTATTTATTTTCAAACTAACACATTTTTGTTATTATCAAGGCTGAGTTATTTATTTTCAAAATCCTCCTGCACCCCCCCCCCCCCCCCCCCCCAGAATATCAATATTAGGTCGTCCCCTAATAACTTTAAATTGTCATTTTAAATTATATTGGTGTATATCAAACTAATTCGAGTAATAGATTAAGAACTTTGATAGGCCAATATTGGTTTAACATATTACATAAGAATTAAAAGGGGTTATGACGTTTGCACATTATACACCTTACTGTATCTTAAGTGATGTACTTTTAAATGACTAACACAGGCAAGATCAATTTTATATATAAATCTTCTACCTTTTCCTCACTAGATGAATCGTTTGCCAATGATACACACTCAGGACCCTCATCTTTTCTTTTAATACTTGTTACTTTGATTGTGTCTGTAGCGACTCCACTTTGTCCACCTAATTTAGCTCGGAGTTCGTCAGCAAGGGATTTTTGCTTTTTATCTATATCTGCCTGTCGTTCTCCTGAGGGAATGAGATTTCATACAAGGTTTCATATTCTGTGATACATGTAACATATAATGCATCTTTGGTATTAATTCTATTTTATATTTTTCAAAGATTTTAACTTGAAATAAACGTTTTAGATATAAGTGGTCCGTAATTCTTTTAAATTTGTTTCGCTGCCTGTTAAAGAGAGGCGGCAGTTACCAAAGTGATATTAAACCTCATAAGTCGATGACAAACTGACAACTCAATGGCAAACATGAAAAAAACGACCAAAAGACAAACAGTATATAAACCGCACAACATAGAAAACTAAAGACTGAGCCCTACCAACCCCACCCAAATCCGAGTTAGATATCATGTGCTCCGGAAGGGTAGGCAAATCATGTTACTTATTTATGTAAATAGTAAAAACCCATTTTTTATTTATTTATTATAGTATAATATGTCTGTTTAGTGATATTTTAATTTTTCATTCTCTGAAATACTTGCACGCGGAAGTCTGCATCAAAAGTTTGTAATGCTATCAACTATATATTAACTAATAAAAACTTTACACAAATAAGGAGATGTGGTATAATTGTCAACGATACATTTATCCAACAGAGACCAAAGGAAGAGGACGTCAACAATTACAGGTCATCGTACAGCTTTCAATAAAGAATAAAACTCATAACGTATAAAAAGCTATAAAGACCCTTATTACTTTTAGTACCATATTCAAACGTCTTGGACTGCTTAGGAATCATACACTTAAGGGTATTGTAAAATTGAAAAAAAAATAGCCAAACACACATCATCAATTAGCTTTACAAACTTTCTGTACATCAGAAATGATTCAAAGAATATGTGTAGTAAACCTCAATATTACTGCAATAAAAAAACAGCACCAATCAAATGTCTGCCATCAACAAAGAATTCCTTACTTGTTTTGTGTAAGAACTGAACGTTATCCACTTTTATACCCATCAAGAATGAACAACAGTTACAGTTAAAACGCACAATAGATATTACTATCGCTATTTTGTGTATTTTTCCTTTGATCTTTTTGTGTGATAATTTTTCATATCACGCTACTCGCTTGAGATAGAAATTATCGCTATAAACATTAACGATGTCACAACTAAAATAGCGATAAACAAATTAACAATGGACTCGAGGGTGTTTCTCGGCCATATCTCGTCGCCCTTCGATGAAATTGTAGCAGAGAAACACCCTCATTTATGAATGTAATTGGATTACAAGTAGTAAAGATCATACATGTATATATCAAGCTATGATTATCTAAAGATTAAATTTAAATAACTAGAACTTAAAATAACGGAAAGACATTATTTTTTGTTCTGGGATTTATCTATTAGTAATAATTGGCTTTGGACTGGCTTTCAGTAACTGCGAGTATCAGTAGACCGGAACTTTGTATCTTAAAATTTTGCAAGTTGTGTTTGTTCTTTGTGTCGATCTGATGAGTCAAGCCTTTTTTTAACAAAGTTTTATAGTTTGTTCTTATTACACTACTTTCCAAGGTTATGAGGAGTTCTTAGCGCTCGCATACATGTTTAACTCCGCCATATTTGTATGTGTCTGCACCAAGGTAGGAGCCGGTAATTCGGTAGTTGGCGTTTGTTGCTGCATATCTTATTTAATTTCGTTTATTGTTTTGGCCATAAATCAGATTGTGGTTTTTTCGTTTGAATTGTTATACATTTTGTTATGTCGGAATCTTGTTTAGCATTATTTGCAATATTGTTCATTGTAAAAGACCGTACGCTGACCTTTAAGTTTCTTAAATCTACGTCATTTGGTTTCTGGTTGAAAATTGTGTCATTCGAAATCATTCCCCATTCTTATTTCGATATTATATATGACTAAATACTTGATGATTTTTTAGATACTTTGTTATCCTTAGCTTCATTATAGGTTTTGTTATGTAAGTCAGCCAATCAAAATGAGAACACTTCTTTCAATTAGTTATCAGTACTTACTCAAGAGTTCTTTCGATTTTTCAATATAATCAGCATCGCGTCTTGTCTCTAAAATAAAATTATATGTAGTTTTAAAAAGCATGTAATTTTTTTTGTCAATTTCAATTAATAAATATACCATGTTTACACCGACTATAAAATTAATCAGTATACCTCCAGCAGATTTAGTGTTATCCAGCTGAATGAGTTTTGGAGTTATAAGCACACACCGAACAGTGTAAGGTAAAAGATGTCAGTAAACGTAAACGCAGATGCAACAAAGAAAAGGAAAATGTGGCTGCCTTATTGGCATTTAGAACTTTAAGTCAGGCTTGGTACATCACCATTTCATTTAACCACATCTTTATATTTTCTAATATTTAACTTTCACTTACCTTTTGTTGCAACGTTAGCATCGTCCTCATTTAATTCTCCCGCTTCTGCTTTGGATGATTCCTAAAATTGAAATATGTCAATGGATTTAAGTTTGTTCAGTTTGATGTTTCAGTCGATTTCCTATGCACGGTATAATGTAATGTTATTTATTTGTCTCGATAAACCGTGTTAGACACAAGAACTTTTACCGCGGTTTTCAACATTTGCTTGAATCGGAATAAGCATGAAACGCTGCGTTTGGTGGAAGGTTAAGACATTGTTAGTCTAGTCTCTTGTATCACAGTACCTCCTTTATAACACCTGATTTCTTGTGAAAGTTGTATAAAAAGACAGAATGTATACTATTCATAACGGTTAATTATATAATTAGACCCAAAATGTTATGAATAGTTATGCATAAAAGATAACTAACCTGTTGCGATGTACTTGGTTGTGCGGTCTCTGAGGTTATTGCAGTCTGCCTCGTTATTGTTGTTCCACTCACGCCATACTCTCCATTTCGTCTACTCTGCCAATGACTCATTCCATCCCTTATCTTTAGATAAAACAGAAATGAAAAACTAATTGTGTACGTGTGTTGTTTGTGTGTGTTGAGTATGTGTGTCGGTTAAAATGTAGCAATATTATAATAAAAAAAAATCAAGCACAGCTATTGTAGGTAGTCCAGCAGTAATCTTGTTATTTTAACCAAAGAAAGCCATTGATAGTAATAACGTCTATATAATGCTTGGATGATATGAGGAAAGCGGTGAGAAAAATAATATGGCGGTCCAAAAAGGGTTTTCGATTTTTCTTTACATTTTCTTTAACATAAATGTTGTTGAATGTGCAGACTTTTTTTGCATTGATCGTTACGCTCGCTATAAATGCTTACCTGCTTGGATAGGAGACAATGGAACAAAAAGATGAAGAACCCCTGAAAAAAAAAACCATAAAGTTGTTTTTAATAGAAAAGTGTAGCTACACTTTAAATACAATTATAATCAAAAGCTTTACTTGCACATCGTTAGTGATAAACTTAAACTTTAAGCAATGAAGGTATTTCCTGCAGATAAATGTACCTTTTATATAATGTTAGCCCACATGGTCTATAACACAATCACTTTTTTATAATAAATATTTCTTTAGTCATTTGAAAATGTTCGAGATTAATTTCGTAATTTTTGGAAATAAAAAAATACCGGAATAGATATAAATTGCCTTATTATTAAATATGCATTTAGCTTTGAAATATTTGAAAGAATTTTTAAATCACATATCAATGACTATTATCTCCAACGTTTAACTATATAACATACAAATTATAAGTTTAAAATCAATTACCTGAAGAGAGTTGAAAATTGCAAATAAATATTGAAATACAACCAAATCCTCATTAACTGAGAAGATTCCAAATAGCCATGTAATTCCAAGAAGTGGAAGAATGACACAAATACTTCTAATGCTGGACCTGAAAATGATAAAACTGTATAAGTCCGTTTGTGAAACTAAATTATACTGTTAAACATTTTGTTTTATATAACCATAAAATTGAGAATGGAAATGGGGAATGTGTCGAAGAGACAACAACCCGACCAAAGAGCAGAAAACAGCCCAAGGCCACCAATGGGTCTTCAACACAGCGAGAAAATCCCGCACCCGAAATGTATTCCATTTCGTACGGGGAAAAGGAAGCATAAAAACATTATTGACTCATTCCTTAATTTAATATTCTTCATCGGTATTATGTTATTCTCAGCATCCTTGTGAAGGTGGTGTTTTGACCGATAAGAACTACCAAAACGTTTACGTTAAATAATCAAGTACCGTTTCTGGATGTGCCATTGTACATAATTTAAATGTAGATTATGAATTACAATGTCTTTCTTTGTTTAACAGTTATTAAAATGTTCTGATAAGTTACCAAAAAATAATCTTGCACTTGTATAATTTGTCAATGTTGGCATTATATTTATCAGCTTTTCTGGATAATAAAAAAACAACAATTTCTCATTTGATTCAAGTTAACTGTCACAACTTACTTTGTTTGTTCTTTTGCAGTTATGGTCAACATACAGTGACTACTTAGAATTGCTTTTATCACTAAAACCAGTATAACCGCATTGGCCTGCAAATATCAGTAGACGTATCAATTTCTGATGCAAAGACTTTTTTTTATTTAAGATAAACAAACTATTGTGAACAAGGTATAAGTGTTTTTTTTTTCTTTTTCAAACTGTAATTATAACTTAAAAGAAAACGAATTTTTAAAATTTGTTGCTTCATTTTAAGCATTATTCATGATATATTATAAAATTACAAAAATGTAGGCGAATTGTACAAAGGCATGAATGATCCGTAAACGTCTTTGGCTTCTGGCTTTCAAACTGTTACGTTGAATGTTTTCCACAGAGACACTGAAAGCTAGATCTATTTTGATGTGTGATACGAATTTAACCAAAGTCATGATTAAAACAATGAATAAAATTAAGTTATGATAACATGACTTACCAAAATTACAACTAAAACCGGAGCAATAAATGCCCATATTAAACCGGACTCAATAGAAAGCCAGCAGCTAAAAAAGTCAATGTACATATATCTTTATTACCCATCTTAAAAATACAGATATGTATATATATATATATGAAAAATGGAAATCTGTTAACGTAAAACTTTTTTATGGTACATGTAACATGTCAAATTCATTTGTAGTTCTTCATAAAGTATTTGCTTATTACAAACGCTTGGTTTCTATAATTAATTTGCTCACAATTGCATCCAAACGTTGTCAAAATATTCATACAAACATTAACATGTGCGTGAATGGTAGATCTACATTTGATAACTATATAACTATTTAAAGTAAATTTCAAGATTGATTTTTAACTGATTTTTTTTTAACTTGTAATTATCTAGAATTATAGGTTCATGTAATACATAAAATATAGATAAATTTTTACTCACAATTTAGAATTACCGTATCCATCTAATTGAGTGGCTACCATGGATACTCCAACAATAAAAATTGGAAATACTGAAAAAAAGTAGTTGTGTTCTATTAATAAAAATAGGAACATAAATCGTAAAACGTCGATTAAATTGTTACGAAATGTTATAAAAAAACACAAACATAATTCACAGGTATGCATGTAAAATGTAATATTTAATAATTTTGGTTAAAGTTTAGCTAAAATGTTCGTTTTACTCAACTGCTTATACCTAATTCATGAACAAAACTCAACTGATATGGTTTAATCAACAGTTTTTTTTGTGATGCAGAGAAAACGTTATGTTTTAATCATAAAAGCAAATTAAAATCAAAAACGCAAAGAGCTTTGAATGAATAAGAAAATGTATTTGTCACTGCTGGTAAATGTCGACTTTCCATTGATCTCTAATCACACGTTAGTTGATCAAGCATTTGATAAAATTATGCATTAATACAACTAAATATTATTGGGCCTAACAAATCTATGAAAATGAGTCTACAAGAAGAATATACAAAACTTTTAACACGAAAGCAAGTATGATATTTGACGAACTTACTCCATGCAGCTGGTATCAACCATCGTGCTCTTGATCTAGTAGCAAACACATATAGCACACAGAATGCCATTTCTACTCCTTCTGCTAACATCATGAAGAAATCCACGAGGAAAATGTAGTGTAGTAGTATAGCCATAAATGTACACACATCCTAAATTTTGAAAGACAGAAATCGTATTATCTACACGAATCTACAATTCTTAATTAAAAAAAGGTGGATGTGGAATAAACTTCTGCAAAAAGGACTTATTCCAAATAACAATGGGATTTAATATCTTAAGACAATTTTGATATACCGGTTATTCATATACGGAAGCCCATTTAGGACCTCCCAAAATATATATTTGAATTCGAAATCACGAATTTAAATCGTTATCACGAATTGAGGAATTCGTTATAACAGATTAAATTCGTGATAACGAATTTCCTGAATTTGTTATAACAAATTTTGTAATTCGTAATAACGAATTAAATTCGTTATCACCATTTTTTTGTAATTCGAGATAACGGATTAAAATCGTAATAACGAATTTTATAATCGTGATTACGAATTGTATAAATCGTGATAACGAATTATATAAATCGTCATAACGAATTGTATAAATCGTTATAACAGATTGAATTCGTTATCACGAATTAGTTGAATTTGTTTTCACATTTTTTTGTTAATTCGTGATAACGGATTAAAATCGTTAAAATGAATTTCATAAATAATTATAATGGATTAAATTCGTTATCACAAATTCGTTAAAAAAGTTATAACGAATTTAATCCGTTATTACAAATTATACAATTTGTTATAACGATTTTAAACCGTTATCACGAATTACAATAATCTGTGATGACGAATTTAATCAGTAATCACGAATTACAAAAAACTGTGTTAACAAAATACACAAATTCGTGAGAACGATTTTAATCCGTAATAACGAATTATAAAGTTCGTTATCACGTTTTTAATCCGTTATCACGAATTACTCAAAATTGTGATAACGAATTTAATCCGTTATTACTCATAACAAAAACTGTTATAACTAGTTCCATAAATTCGTGATAACGAATTTAATCTGTAATAACGAATTCTAGAATTCGTGATAACAATTTAAATTCGTGATATCGAATCGAATTATACTTTCGGGAGGTCCTAAATGGGCGTTCGTATTCATAGCCTTTCATTTTGTAATCAGTGTAATATTTGCAGCATAAATATTTCGTTGGTTTCCTGTGTACAAGATAAGGTACACAAATACAACTGAAAATAAACATTGAAAAAATATTTCAGTGCTTTTCGTATTGAAAATTATTGTTGTGGTATGACGTACACTGTCGACGCATGAGATTCCCTCAGTTTTTGTTGGTTACCTTAATTTGTCTTCTTAATAGATTTGTGATATTTAAACATCGGTAAACGAATATACAACAAATGAAATCAATGAGCTACGAGAAATGTCAGGCTTGCAATCTACCAAAACAAGATGATATTGCAGACATGAATAAGGGGAGTCTATATTATGCTATTATAATAAATAAGAATTACCTGATTTTCAGTCTGTGTTACCCCAGCTAAGAATACGATATATGATAATATCAATGATATGCATAAACTTATCAATATTTTAGATTTGTCACTCTTTACGTACCTAAAAGAGAAAATAACTATGTCATTTTACAGAATAGTTTAATTAAGCGGAAACATACAATAAAAATTTAAATCGTAACTGGTAATTCCAGCTACATTTTCTGATTTTCTATCTGTATGTTATATAATGTGTTCAAACAATACTCAAGTTCCTGTCATTGTAAGGATGAAAAATACTTTATCGTTTCATTGGAAAGTCACTATGTTGTAAATTGCATGTGCTGTTAAACCACATATTGAAATATTATCATACATTCAAAGAGTTACTGTGCTAGTTACATAGTTAACATTTACTCGTGATAACTTGGTTTATATAAATTTATTACTTCCTGTTTGTGCTTATCATAATTGCTGTATAGGAGTAGCAACCAATGACTCTTTTGGAGCAACTGACTTTATTCTTCAACTCGTGATTTTATATTTACTCAACGATATTTAAAGGTTTTGTTGGAATCCGTCAAATCATTAGAAACTAAGAACTTCATAACAAACTAGAATTATTCTTTAATTTACTTACTTCCATAATAAACCATATATAATGATCGTAATCAACAGGAATAAAATGGAAATACCACAACCAACTGCTGATATTACACTCAGAGCCAAGACATGTTCTGTTGGCTGGAAAAATTAGCAAATGGACAATTATCATAACTGCCCCTAAAATTCTAAAACATGACATTATATATAAAACAACCAATTGTCATCGTTCACCCAGTTACAAAGTATACGTGTGTAATGTAACGTT